GAAAGGGACACATCGAGTGGCTGCCACCCGCACGACCAACCAGGGCCGGGGACAAACTGCAACCGAGGTACATGCCCTTAGCGGGAACCGAACCCGGGTCTCTCCAGACCGCAGGCGGGTGCTCTAACCGCTGAGCCAAACCGGCCAGGGCAGGACAAAACTTTCTTAACAGCCTTAGAATGGTGTTGGTACCGAAATGCTCAGCCCAGAACTATCTGTGTCCAATTAATTACACTTTCCTGGTCTTTTTCTTTCTACTGAAATAAAAATGATAATAAATGAGCAACACTACTTGGCAAGATATGTATCAGAGTTTTCTTTGAAATACTCAGTGAATATCAATTACATTACACGCTATGTATGAAAAGGCTCCCACCACGAAGAACTGTGCAAAATTCTTTTTATTTCAATGACAAATTCCAAAAAAACGCACCCAGAAATTGCGAGGCACATTTGCATTTACAACTTTGTAATTTTTAGGATGTGGTTTTGACCCCAGAGTCCGATGAGTCATGTGCTCTTACCAACAGTCTTTTCAAGGAGAGGTTTATGTGAAGCTCATCACACTGAATCATTTTAAGGAAAATGTGGGTCTTTATAAAATAAAATGGAACCTGTTTATGTCAAGGAGGCCAAGGCACATGGACTATTGGGGTAATATTTATATTGTAAAAGGAGACATTTTATTCTCAACTTCCATTTTTGTTGGAGCCCAACACCCATGCTGACTTAAGAAAAAAGATGGTCTCTTTTCTAAATCATTTCTAAATCAGGATGGAGCCCTAGCCGGTTTGGCTCAGCGGTTAGAGCGTCCGCCTGCGGTCCTGAGAGACCTGGGTTCAGTTCCCGCTAAGGGCACGTGCCTCGGTTGCAGTTTGTCCCCGGCCCTGGTTGGTCGTGCGGGTGGCAGCCACTCGATATGTCCCTTTCACATCGATGTTTCTCTCTCTCTCTCTCTCTCTTCCTCTCTCTAAAAAAATAAATAAATAAATAAAATAAATCAGGATGGAAAGAAAGATCGCAGGACATCCCAGCAATGGAAGCAGCCACCAGGATTCTAGAGCCACAGCATGCCCTGTGACTTGCTGCATTGTTGACAGGAGCAACAGGATACAGAGATTTAAGAAGGGACAGGGTATTTCAAATGCAAGAGAACAACGCTTAAGGAATGGCTAATTTGTTTTCCTCTAGAAATCTTCAGTACACGGTTCTCTTGGGAAACCTCATCAATTAAAACCCTACATGCTCTTCTACTTGTGGGAACGGGGAATGCATTTCTCGTGTTATTACATAAATGAATCTCATCTTCAGGGCTTTGAAATATAACTTTATCCAGACTGTAGTGAATGTGTGTGCCGTCTCATCTTTCTGCATTACAGTGAAATTGATTTTATGATTCCTTCCTCATAAATTACAGGCCCGAGGCAGTAGCGACGGCGATGCGTCGGCTTTGTCTTCCCTGGTCTCACAGGCTGGGCATGTCGCCTCCTTCTTTATTTATTTATTTATTTATTTATTTATTTATTTATTTCCTGAACTGCATCCAGCTCTTCAATTTTGCGGTTCTGGTTCCGGTTCTGAACCTAAAATGCGTTTTGAAAAAGAATGGTCTGTTTAGGCCCAGGATGTGGCTTGTTTGGGTCCTCTGAGCAGAGTATTGTCCCTGAAGCCTTCAGCGGCTCCTTGGGAAGAAACAGTTTGTTAAGACGACCAGAACGGTCACCATGCGACTGAGCGCTCATTATGTGGGTGCTGTCATGAGACTAACGGCTAGGAAACGCAAAGAGTGTCTTCCTTCTCTCCCTCCTCACAGGAGGGCAAAGTCCCCCGTGGGAGCACTGGGGTTTCTGACAGTCCTCCTGGGTCCTACCTACGCATCGCTTCAGTTACTCAGTCTGGAGAAGTCTTACCTTACTACACTGCCCCTCCCCCTCCCTTTTTAAAAAACAAAGAGAAGTTCTGTTGGTCCCTTGACTAGTCTAATTAGAGGGAAGAGTACGGTCAGAATATAAAACGATAAGCCTGCTGAATTTCCCCCCGTCCTCAGACTCACCCTGGAGGATCAGGCTTCCTTGAGGCTCCCTCAGGAAGACAGGGTAGGGGAAGGGGACAGAAGTCAGGTCTCGTTGTCTTGCTCCCTGGTGGGTGTGTGACCCGGCCCGCAGGTCGATCAATGAGGACTCCAGAGGGGGAGTGAGGATGAGGTGGGACAAGAGACACGAGAAATGAAGACAAGACAGGATTCTGATCAAGTCTCGTTTATTCAGGGGGAGTTCACACAATATATAGGGGAAAACAGGTGAAACAGTTAATGAGTATCCCACCTGAAGCCAACTCCAGCAAATACCCCAGGTGGAACAAATGATAAGCAAAGAATGGAGTAAACAGTTATCTAGAGGAATGCAGACACTGTATGCAGAGAGACCCCGCCCTGGGGCCGGAGACAGCAGAGCAGACTTAACAAGATGGATGCCATGCAAATGGTCTCCCACAGGTGTGACCCCTACTGACCCCAGGTTTTATTTTGGGGATGGATGGGAGTTCTGGGGTGAGAATCCCGGGGAGGTTTACACATTCCATCTCTTCACACATATCCAGCAGGTGGCTTCTGGGCTTCTGTTGCCATCGATCCCAGATGGTTCTCTCTTAGATATGCAGCCACCTTGTGCCCCAAACCAGGCGACAGTAAAGAGTGTAGTCAAGGGAGCATTGAGCTCAAGCAAGAAATATTTTTTCTAAACCGGATCTTACCCCTAATGTTCAGGTCATTATATATATATATATATTTATATATATTTATATATATATTTATATATATTTATATATATATTTATATATATTTATATATATGTATATTTTTAATTTATTTTAGAATTTTAGAGAGAGAGGGAGAGGGAGCGAGAGAGAAACATGAACTGGCCACCTCCTGCATGCCCCCTACTGGGGATCAAACCCACAACCCCGGGCATGTGCCCTGACCAGGAATCAAACCAGCAACCTCTTGGTGCATGGGACGATGACATTCAATCCACTGAGCCACACCAGACAGGCCAGGTCATTTTTTTAAGCCTACTTAAATCTTTTGGTTTTAATATTTCAATAGACCTTTTGCCTTCTCTATATAATAATTCTAGATAGAGATCATTTAAATTAGCACAGGTAATTACTGTTCATCCACTGAGAATTTATGGGCCTAAAAGCACAATTGTTTGGGCCGGTGCTTTATACCAATCTCAGAATGAAGGTGAAGCAGTTCATCATGGTAAATATAATAGGGCACAGAAGTCTTCTACTTCTTGCTGAGTTGACTTTACAGTTGTGACTTCTCAGGATATCTGGCATTTCTGTACTCACAAGGAAGGATATATAATCAGTCAGGACCGGAGCTGTAGGTGTCCCTCAGGCGATCTACTGCTCGCTGTGCTCTGCCACACGAGGGCGCTGTCTCTGAACAGCGTCCACCGACGTGTATTGTAACGTATCTGCGTCCGCATGCTGAGCCCTCGAGACTGGATTCTTGAGGGCAGAAATTGCTTCTCATTGCTTTCCAGCACCTTAAACCCTGGTTCACACAAAGTTCTCAAAAAATATTTGTTGAGCAAATCAAATCATTGTTTCATTTTGTTTTTGAATGACACGTGTCATATTTATTTTTTTATTAAGTGTATCGGGGTAACATTGGTGAATAGGATCACACAGGTTTAAGGCGTAGACGTCTGTGTTACATATCTGTACATTGCACTGTGTGCCCACCACACAGTCAAATCGTCTTCTGTCTCTATGTATTAGGCCCCTCCACTGCCCCCACCTCCTCCCCGCTTCCCTCTGGCCACCACCACACTGCTGCTCATGTCCACGAGTTTTTATCCCCCACATGAGTAAAATTCCTGATACATTTTTGGAAATGCTACTAGAACATGAACATTGCTATTGCACAGACAATAGTCAAACCACATGAGTAGTGAGTGTGAATGCAACAGCTCCCTGGTGTGGAGAGTGGGCTGGATCTAGTGGTTAACCAGTCTCCTACGAGCTAGGCAACTACTTTCCTAACCGGCTTAAGACCAACTAAAACCTAGTCCCTCTCTGTCATGGATCCTGCGCCATCACTGTCAGGAGTGTGTGTCCTGCGTTATTTTTTGCGGAAGCACTATGCTTTTACTCTAACATTTTGACTTTAATAATTTTACATTAATTCTTTTTTGCTAAATTGATTTTAGAAAGAGAGGAAGGGAGAGGGAGAGATAGAAACATCAACGAGAGAGAACATTGATTGGCTGCCTCCTGCATGCCCCGCCCTGGGGATCAGGCCCACAACCTGGGCATGTGCCCTGACCGGGAATCGAACCAGCGACCTCTTGGTGCAGGGGTCAACACTCAACCGCTGAGCCACACCGGCTGGGCTATATGAATTCTTCAAATTCTCTTGAAGTCACTAGTTTTTCAGGTGCAACGCTGCAAAATTCTTAATTAACAGCGATCTGAACCAGGTGCTCGGACTGGGAATCTGACTGCAGTTTCCTATGATGCAGTTTCCTTCTGATGCAGCTTAAGGCAAGGAGGGTAATGTCAACTCTGCAACACCGAAACCTCACCTGCATCCTTTCAACCTGTTAGCCTCTTTCCTTCCTTCCAAAACTGTTTTGAATAATACTGGTCGAAAAGGATCATGGGTAGGTGGGATTAATAGCTACATTTCTCTCTTTCTGGATGTGTCATGTATTACTTATCTTTCCATTTCCAATTAAGGGACTTCGGCAAATACTCAAGTGAGTGGAATAAACCTAGAGTCTGTTTTAAATGTCAGTTAAGCTCTTTATGTTTTATAAATATATAAGAAATAATGCCCACAGTGCATTATTTTTCTAAAACTTGTACAAACATTCCTTCTTTTAGGGAAGTGGTACTATGGGTGGATACTATATATATGAGGCTCACCAAGGGGGTCTTTCAAACTGCACATCCCCCTCCACAGACATGAACATATTCTTTCTTGTTCCGTGAAGTCAATGTTCTACTGACCTACTGATTGTTGGGTGCCATACCTTTTTGTGTGTCTGGAATTATTGTTTTCAACAATGCAGTGAATAAAATGTTTCCAATTAGAATTCTACAAGAATACAAGACATTTGTTTAAATTACATGATTTATTTTTAGATTATCCCTCTTAGTCCTGCATGCACTGTTAGCACAAAAAACTGGACTTAATCACAACCTCCTGGGAACACAGTCACACCATCTGAAGAGTTTCTTCATAGATGGCCCAAGAATTCCAGGCCTTGGTAACACTGTCAGTAATCTACACAATGTTCAATAGAAAAATTTACCAAATGTCCTTTGTTTAATGTAAACAAGGCGGGAGGCAAACAGATTATTACAGTAACACTATTTTACAGGGCCCAGAAATATGATTATCTATCATGTTTTAACACATCAAGTGTCATAATGACATGCATATTTTGATTAATTGTACAAGATATAATTACCATATAATTTGTGGTTTTAGCACTTTGCTGTAATTTCTGTCAATACCTATGTACTTTATAATTAAATGGTAATTGCATATTAATGCAATAATTTATGAAAATATGTTACCATGGGTTATGAAGGTAATTCCATAATTTGTGCCCTGTAAAATTAAGTGTAACAATTTTTACACTAGCAACAGTGTAAGCAAGCTAAGGATTTTGGTCCTTATTATATATACATATATATACACATGTACACACACAATAATGTACAATTAAACCACAAAGCTATAAATCCACTCATAGCTTCCATATTGCACAGTTACATTACGCAACATTACATAGTTATAATGTACTGCAATGATAATTGGCTAAGAACAAATCTGAGTTCTATCAAGTAAAGAATGTGGCTCATTTCTAAAAATAACCCCAAAGACTATACTGGTAGAGAGAAAGATTTTAAAATAAATGTGTATAGCTATTCATACCAATGTGAAGCAAGGCTAAAATTCAGTTTGGAACTTGCAAGAGCAATCAGTTGTTAATCTGGTACTTTCTACCCAACACAGTACCTTTTAGTCACTGTTTTGCAAGTACCAAGAATTAGAAATGTTTAGCTTCTGAAAGACAGCAAGAAAAAGACTAAAATGGAGTACAATGTTTCACTAACAAATCCAACTACTGGGAGAACTCGTGCTGGCTCTGGGGCTGCACTAAATAGGAGTAAAAGAAAGGGAATGCAAGGGAGGGAGGGAGAGAGAGAAACTGAGAAGAGAAACAAAGTATACCTTAAACTTTAGCTGATTACACATCACAGTCATTACAATAACTTAGAAAAATATGTTTTTAAGAAGCAGCATACACACGAAACATAAGAGTTAAAGCTTTTCTGAGCCTGGTTTCATGGATTAGCTATAGGGTCCCATTGTGAAATCAAAGATAAAATAGCATTAGTTGGAGAGGTCCCGTCAGTGCTATTCCACCTACTGAACACTATGACAACATTCAGAAATATCTAATATCTCTTAATGCCGTATTTTAAATGCACCTACCTCAAAGTAGGCTATAACCACATCTAAAACTGAGGACGTTGCAGTGTTCTTGCTTGGACAAATGAATAAATACAGCAACTGCATAATGATTTCCCATCATTAAACATCTTTTAAAGAGGAGCCCGCACGAAGTAACTATTTCCCACTTTTCTTTTTCTGTTACTCTGCTTGATACATTTCTTAGAAGGAGCTCACAAAGATTGGCATTAAATTAGAAATTTGGTCTTTTTGTTGTTTTAACAGTGGTAAGCGTTTGAGAGCCAAGAATATTCATAATCTTTTGATATACTATTCTTAATAAATAGCAAAAACTAACTATAAAATAAATCAGAAAAACGAATACAACAAAATTAGCAGTAGGTGTAAAACATGCTTGTGTGCACACGCTACACACCGCATACACACAAACACGCTGCACAAAACAACTTCATAGAAGGGGCCGCGTGAAGAGCGCCTCTGCAGCCAGAAAGCCTGACAGTCTGCGCCCCCAAATGTCCCTCAATAGGCGAGAGGAAAGTGCTGTTGCTTAACATCTCAAGGAAGAAAGGTGAAGAAGGCTTCAAAGCAGTATCTCGGAGCGACAAGCATCACTTACAGAAGAACAGAGAGTGGATTAGCAAACATCATTGTGTAAATCAAGTCCAAGCGCTGTGCCCCGCCCAGCTCTGCCAAACGACCCACCCGTTCCTCCGTGCACCCCCATTCAGGCGCATTCCCAAGTCACCCACATTCTTTCACATGTAAACAGGACAGACTGGTTGGTTGGTTTTTAACTCTCTTTAGAATAATTTAAAACAAAAGACTGAACAAAATGAAAAAAAAAAGTAAACATTTGGGAGGCCACTGGGCATTCTGGTGCCTAAGAGTTATCGGTCAGTTCCCCACCGAGACACTACTATGCATTTCAGTAAGAAAATTAAATTATAAAGCGATTTTATGAAACAATTTTCAGAGAGAGAGAGAAATAAAAGGTTCTCAACCCAATACATGTAAATAAGCTTTAAAACTACTATTTTAGCAAACACTACCAATGGTGAGCACAAATTCAACGTTGTTGCAAAAATGACACAATTTAAATAAACTGGGACCCATACATGAAAATTAATCACTTACCTGGCTATGTGCACAAGAGTAGAAGAACATTTCTTTAATTAATATATATATATATTAATCAAGAATTTTATCATATTAAATTGTTATTAGAAAAGCTGAAGAAAGTTAATGGTTCTCTATACATTTTTATCTCTTATTAACTCAACTCATTTGATGGTCCCTGAATTGTATTATTTTCTCATTTACAGTTTTTCATATTTTGTTTGATAAGAATTCTGATCTTAAAAAGTTATAAAATTAGTTGTTTGTCGGTTTTTTTGCTACTTATTAATCCAAAAGAATATAAGCATCTGAGTCCCAGAGAATGTCAAAGATGCCTTGCTACCTAAAAGGATATTAAAATAACAGAAATATCAAAGTCATGACATCAGAAATTTTGCGGCTTTTCACACAGGCGTTTTCTTATTTCTTGAAGTTCCTTTGATTGTATCCTGGATTCAAGGATGTGCAAGTTTGTACATAGAGCCTTTATGATAAAGCCAATGAAAACAATATTCTACAACATTTTACTGAAATTGCCCACTCAATGGGTTTATGATGGTTCTCTCCAGTTTATAGCAATACTTCATTTAAAAAGGCTTTTTCTCCTCTCTTCACTGGGTGGAGCGGAGTCTCTTTTGATGAAATGTACACAATAGTTCTGTTTCCTTGGTTACTTGGAAGGTGCTATTTACGGTGTGGAGGAAGCATGGTATTTCACAAATGCAATTGCCGCTAGCTCCTTGCAGAACTCTTCTAACACGATCACGCCCTCCAGCAAGGTGAGGTGGTCAATACTGGAAAGGGACAAGGAGGCAACACGTCAATTCAAGATATTAGCAGATTGTCAACTGTCGGTGGAATTTTTAGATTAAAAAAAAAAAAAAAAGTAAAACGCTGACTTACACTGGGCCTTCTGGTTCCAAACCAAGCAATCGCTTTCTGACCAACAGAAGCTTGGGAGTAAAGTCCTGAATACGCTGGATTCTAACCATAAGGTCTCCAACAACCTGAATCACAGAGACAAAAGGAACTCAGTTCCTAAAGTCAACTACATAAGGGTTTTCAGGATTAAAAAACACACCATTTTACCAAATGAAGAATGTCACCTTTCACTATTTACACAACCATCTTTGACAAAGGACTCATATCTATTCCTTAAAATGAAATACACACACACATACACACACACACACACACACGATTTAAAATAATAAATTTTTATTTTCTTCCTCCACATTTTATAGTAAAATAATTACTTCTAAATAGTAGATATCTCAAACTTTTCTTTATGTGACACTGATTACACGCAATGACATTGAGATGTGAATCAGACAGGTCTATCAACCCCAAGGAATAGAACAAAACTCACAACTCACCCTCACAATTACAGAGAAGAGAGACCTACAGCCAGAAGCCAGGTTCACATAAGGGTCCAGAAGGTATTCATGTATGTGTGGATGAGGGAAGAGAGAAAGTCTAGACAACACCGAGGTGACCTGTAAATTCACATCGTACGGCTAGGGGGAGGGAAAAAACAAAAACACATTTAACATTATGGTTCATATAAATACCTGAGCACTTTGTTTACCATTTTTCCTTTTCAAGAAAAAAAAATCTACCCTCCACACGCTCTTCTGCAATGAAAATACCGACACTAAACTAAACGCCTTAGTCAAAGCGCATATAACAGAGTCCTAAACATTTTTCAAAAAGCATGCATGTAACATATAGCAAAAACAAATACATAACAGAGTCAGAATGTCTGTTTCACGCAGGTTGTTTTAATTAATGAGATGGTTCAAGAGGCCATCAAAACCCACCTAAGTATTATAAGTAATATTAATTATAAACACATTTAAGTATAAGACCAAAGATAGCAGGGAATGTATTAAAATCTTTTTAAATATAGTGGTCTAGTTTTAGAAAGGACATAACTCATCTTTTATTCAACTACTACCAATTACCGAAAGCATGTGTACAAGAAAGTCAAGTCACAGAGCCTGTCAACAGAATGCAAGTACTTGGGGGCAGAAACGACCACCGTGTGCCTCAGAGTGAAAGAGATGATTCATAGGGTGATTACAGAGGGTCAGCTCAGTTACTGCAAGAACATTAACTCTCCCCAAATCACTGTATGTCTGTGTGTAGTTCTCCACACATTTTTTTTTTTAATGTACTGTGTCAATTTCACTAGATTTCTAGCTTTTAATGGTTATTCTTCGTAGAAAGCAGCTTGGAGGTGCTTTACAGAGAATGTCAAAGGCAAAGCAAAGGCACATGCTAACAGAGTTGCTGGGATTGTGCCTACAACCTTCACCAGGACTCGCTCCTCCCTCCCTTCCAGCTTCCCTCGAGCAGTGAAGCCCCCGGTGGCCGAGACAGAGCTCACTCAGCGAGAGGCTGAGAAGAACCGGGACTGGAGGAGTGAGAAACACCTCGCAGCACCGGGAGGGGAAAGGGATTTGGGACCCAGCTGGGATGAACCACGGAGTCTGAATGTTCTCCTCTCCGACACCGAGCAGCTTTTCTGCAGCTCATCACAATGAACACCAAGAAAGAAGGAAAAATTCGGCTTCAGAGGACAACAAATGCTTCCGTATGCTCCAGAAGACATCAAAGATACTGTTATAGGAACAAAAGCTCGTCCTGTGTTACATATAAGTCCAATTTTAGTCGTTTTTACTTACTGCTAGATTCATGAACACAGATTTTCTGAAAGAACTATCCCTAACTCCCTTATTCACAATTTAGCCATAAGCAAGATAAATGAAAGGAGATACCATTCCTATTGAAGAGAGTTTGAAGAGCCTATTCTCCTACTTGATAACATTTGCAACAGAAGAGCCTTTTCTAAGACTCAATTCATAAAGAAAGGTAAATTCACATTGTATTTTAGGCACAAAGGAAACATTAAAAAATAATCTTTAAGAATGCATTAGGTTAAAATGTGGACAAAATCATTCAAAATACAACTAAAGTGCAGAATTGCAAGTGACTTCATTTCAGGTAGTTCAGCTCTTTAGGGCTCTAAACTCTGCCATCTGCAGGTGTTTAAATACATAAATGAATAATTTGGCTCTGAACAAGGACATATTGCCACTTAAACTTTTACCTTCTCTATATGGTGTTACTTTGGTTTTTAGTTTTATTTGAACAAAAGCTATGTCTTCTGTTGTTTAAGAAATTTAAGGTGGATAAGTTTTTTTCTAACGTGAAAATGTAAATTTTAGTTAGACAGAAACTGTTCCAACATACTGTAAAATGAACTCTACTTTATATTGGCCATAACTTGAAAACAAGTTGACCTTTTATGAGGTTGTCAATAGTAAGTATGAATAATAATTTATTATTTTGGACCCTTTTGTTTTCTACTTTACACAGTACTCACCTGAAATGAAAGCTAACCAGGTGTTTCTGACATGTCAAGTGCACCTGCCCCCTTTTGACTGAGCCCACACGAAATACATGGTCTGCATTTAGGACAATAATCATGACTTAACAGCATACTGATGCCACCAGCAAACAGTCTCAACCCTTCTACTAAAGGCCAAATATGCAGATATTCAAAACAATAAGACTTCAATTAAAGTTTGAAAAATTTCAACAACTTTATAGTCTCTGAAATGTCCAATAACTGCATTTAACAAGACTTTATATTTTTTAAAGTATTTTAAATTACCTTTTTTCATTTAATTCTTTTTTAATCCTTACCCGAGGATATGTTTTCATTGATTTTTAGAGAGAGAGGAAACACAGATTTGCCTCCCGTATGCGCCCTGACCAGGAATCAAACCTGAAACCTTTTGGTGTTCGGATGATGCTCCAACCAACCAACCAGCCAGCCACCCAGCCAGGGCACTGTCTTCATTTAATTCTTATGAGCAAATCTAAGTAGGAGGTTAGGGTAAGTAACATCAACTGCACTTCAACAATAAGAAAATGTGACAAGTGGTTTAGTTAGTGGCCCAAAGTCAAACTCTTCTCAGTCAGGGCAGGGACAAGAACTTGGCCTCCTACGTTTTCCATGATTCTTTACATTCTGCCATGAATCTTAGCATCTCGCTATCTTTTTAAAATCACCACTAAATATGAACACTACCGTTCATATTATACTGTATTTTAAACAATTAACACTGTGACAAGACAACAGTGTTATAAATACTTGATATCTTGATGTCATAATGTCTCAATTATATCTGCAGAAATGAGCTGCTTTATTAATTATCCATGTTAAAAGTTTAACCCCAGCACGGTTATCCTGATGCTGTCAGGGATATATACTAAGAAAATACGAACTGAATTTAAATGCTTTGGTTGTTAAGTATAAAACAAACAAACACTAGCAATATAGCACATGCTGTTAAGATGTTGAAAGAAAAAAGACTTTCTTTACTGATTACTATCAGAAACAGTACTGATTAAAGTGTAACCTAGTAAAATACTTCTCTTTTTTTTTTTTTTTTTATCCTCACCCGAGGACATTTTTCCATTTTTTGTTCAGGTAGAGTGGGAGGGAGAGAGAGGAACAGAGAGAGAGAGAAACATCGATGTGAAAGGAACACATCGAGTGGCTGCCACCCGCACAACCGACCAAGGCCGGGGACAAACTGCAACCGAGGTACATGCCCTTAGCGGGAACCGAACCCGGGTCTCTCAGGACCGCAGGCCGACACTCTAACTGCTGAACCAAACTGGCCAGGGCTCTTTTTTTTTTTTTTGAAATCCTTGCCCGAGGATATTTTTCTATTTATCTTCAGATAGAGTGGGAGGGAGGGACGGAGGGAGAAACAAACATCTATGTGAAAGGGACACACAGACTGGTTGCCTCCCGCAGGACCTCACCAGGACCAGGGAAGAACCGCATCCAAGGTACTGCGTGCCCTTGGCGAGAATCAAACCCGTGACTCATTGGTCCCCAGGCCGACACTCTAATAGCTGAGCCAAATGGGCCAGGGCGTGAAATCCTTCTTAAATGATAATTTCTTTATTTGGCTTTCTGGTTATTGAAGACAGCCTGCTTACATAGATTTCTTTTATAACTCCCTAAGCTCACATAAACATGTAACTAAAATGCTAATAATAAAAAAAAAAAGGACAAGTACTTTAATATAAAATTTTAAATGAATTCCAAATTGGTTAATTCGGTGGGGGCAAGTATTATGCCAAGTTCTTTTATTTCAAGTGTCCATCCCAGTGTATAAAGCTTTTCAAAGCTATCTCATCACTTGGTTTATCTGTCAGTGAGGGAGGAAGGGAGTCTATAATCTCAAACTCACTTCTCCTGACAGTCAGTGAAACATATAGCAACATAAAGATGGTGATCTTGCCCTGGCTGGTTTGGCTCAGCAGTAAAGCGTAGGCCTGCGGTCCAGAGAGACCTGGGTTCGGTTCCCGCTGGGGGCATGTACCTCAGTTGCGGTTTGTCCCCGGCCCTGGTTCCTTGTACGTCGATGTTTCTCTCTCTCCCTCCCCACTCTATCTGAACAAAAAATGTCCTTCGGTGAGGATAAAAAAATTTTAAAAAGTTGGTGATCTTTACCAACCTTGCAGTAGGCAAATGTACCTTTTTTAATTTTACCTCCCCCTTACAAAAGGGAGTATCACTCACAAGTTCTTTGTCTGAAGAAGCATGTTCATCTAATACTGTTCTGTTATTTTAACAAGATCAAAGCACTTAACAAGATCAAGATTCAATCTGAAATGACATCTGAGGTCTTCCGAATTGAACCTTATCTATTTGTATTTGTGCTGACTGGACTAACAGCCTTTCCAAGTTAGTCCAGAAAGAAAAGCACTCTGATCACCTTCCAAACACACTCAAGGTATTGAGAGAATGGCCTACAATGAGAGGTGAAATATACAATTCCGTAACAACTGTCAGGCCAAATAAATGCTCTTAGCATCACGCGCGCATCAGAAACCCACCAGCTGTTGGCAATCAAGCCTTATGAAAAAGCCTTCTAGTGGAAAAACAAAGAAAACAATAAAATGACTTCATTGAACATCTAAACTAAGACTTAGGATGAGCCCATAATGAACGGTAACAAAACAGTAGGAAAATGAGTACTGCAAAACGTATTACCTGATCAAGAATTCTTCCCATTCTGTCAAATAAAACTTTCAAAAAATGACCTTCAAAGAAAGTGGCTTCCAGATTGCACTTCTCCAATGCCTTCGGAGACCCCGGCCACTTCCACCGTAAGCAGACAGCACAGTAGTCCCGGAACTAGGGGAAAAGCATTTGGATCATTAAAGAATGAACCCAAAACAAACTGACGTGAACTAGAAATGATTTCTTCAAATAGGACTATCAAGACCCATTTGAATGCGGGGTGCTGCTCAGGGTGAGGTGCCCTGGGCGAGGGGAGAAGAAATGACTCGGATAACACCCTGATGGAGGCAGACGTAGGATTATAATCACAGTACCGATACGGATTGATGAGAAAACAGGCAGACTTTAAGTTGAGCAGAGTAACCTTCAACTACTGCGCTCATGCTCCTCCTTCGGGACCTGACCCCTTTGCTTATTTTCACTGCCTGTCTGGTGAGCACTTTCAAATCATGGTCAGTCCGGCCACACTCTCACCTCCTCCCATGCTGCCCGTGGGAGCCGGAGGGCCTGCAGCAGCCGAGGAGGCAAGGCCGGCCCCCTGCTCGGCCCCCTGCTCGGCCCCCTGCACTGGCCTGCACTGGCCTGCACTGACCTGCACTGGCCTGCACTGGCCTGCACTGACCTGCACTGGCCTGCACTGACCTGCACCGGCCTGCACTGGCCTGCACCGGCCTGCACCGCCTGCACTGGCCTGCACTGGCCTGCACTGACCTGCACTGGCCTGCACTGGCCTGCACTGGCCTGCACTGGCCTGCACGGGGCACGCCGCTCTGACAGCTGAACAGCGGCTCCGGCGCGGTCTGCCAACGGCTCCCGTGGCGACGGGTGAGCACGAGAACCAAGGGCGAGCACGTACAAACTCCACTGCAATTTAACTGAGGACCCTTTATATCCGTTGACTCTAAGTAATTATCGGGGCTTGTCATTTGTGCTTTTTCTAGTAATTCATTTTTATTATATTTTACCAAAGTGTTGGTCTCTGAGATTGGAAATGGTAAGAAACTGGTCATTCCCTATACAGAGTTTATCACTGAGATAAACAGTATAAATTTTTACAAGCACAAGAATATCTCATATAATGAAAGTAAATTTAAAAAAATCTTCCGATATGTAATTTATTTGAATTGAAATGAAAGACATTTTTAGCATAGTTTTCCTCCATATTCTTTTCCTTTTCAGATTCTCCTCAATAAAGCAAAATTACTTTGACCTTTCTAATTTAGAAATTACCTGAAATTAAAACATATTCTCACCATGAAGCACTAACTTCATCATTTAAAAACATATTTAAAATGATAAAAAGGGTTCAGCCAGTGTGGTTCAGTGGTTGAGTGTTGACCCATGCACCAAGAGGTTGCCAGTTCGATTCCTAGTCAGGACACATGCCCAGGCTATAGGCCCGATCCCCAGTGGGGGGCATGCAGGAGGCGGCCAATCGATGTTCTCTCTCATTGATGTTTCTATCTCTCTCTCCCTCACACTTCCTCTCTCTCTAAAATTAATAGAATAAAATAAAATAATAAAAAGAACAATTTCTTCAATATATTTTGAGTTTGAAACTATTTGGCTTTCAAGAGACAATTTTCTTTTAAAACCACATCCCAATATTTAGTAAAGCATTTTCATATTAACACTTCTGAAATTCTGACCTAGATAGTTAACAGTTTAATAAAAATTAAAATGAAACTTTACAGAAAAAATAAAAGCAGCTTAAAAATCCTGTTGGGCCCGGCTGGTGTGGCTCAGTGGTTGAGCGTCAACCCATGCACCAAGAGGTCGCCAGTTGGATTCCCAGTCAGGGCACATGCCCAGGTTGTGGACCAGATTCCTAGTGGGGGGCATGCAGGAGGCGGCCAATCGATGTTCTCTCTCATCAATGTTTCTATCTCTCTCCCTCTCCCTCTAAAATCAATAAGAGAAAAAAAATCCTGTTGGTACTACTGAGATTAGTCCTTATTTTACTGCCTTATCGTTACATGAAAGTACATTACTCTAGTTATTCATATAGTAATTTGGGCTTGAAGTCAGGCTCAAAGCATTATAAATTAACTATAGGCATATACAAGTTAGTTATATATAATACACATTTAAATCCCAAGGATTTAAATAAAAATTAAACATAGATTTTTCAGATTTGAGACGTTTCAAAATTTGGAATTTTGTAAAATTTTTGTAAAATGCTACAGAGTAAAGAAGACTGAGAAAAGGCCATTCAGTTTGCTAATGAAGAGGAGAGACTGGACAAAGCCGTGTCAGTGAGTCGGAAGCCAGAGCACAGGGGACAGAGGACTCAGAGCGACAGAGGGACAGCGTGTGGAGACCACTGCGTGTGGGAGGCGGTGGTGCAGGGGAGGGGAGGAGAGGGGGCGACAGAGGGACAGCGTGTGGAGACCACTGTGTGTGGAAGGCAGTGGTGCAGGGGAGGGGAGGAGAGGGGGCGACAGAGGGACAGCGTGTGGAGACCACTGCGTGTGGAAGGCGGTGGTGCAGGGGAGGGAGGAGAGGGGGCGACAGAGGGACAGCGTGTGGAGACCACTGCGTGTGGAAGGCAGTGGTGCAGGGGAGGGGAGGAGAGGGGGCGACAGAGGGACAGCGTGTGGAGACCACTGTGTGTGGAAGGCAGTGGTGCAGGGGAGGGGAGGAGAGGGGGCGACAGAGGGACAGCGTGTGGAGACCACTGTGTGTGGAAGGCGGTGGTGCAGGGGAGGGAGGAGAGGGGGCGACAGAGGGACAGCGTGTGGAGACCACTGTGTGTGGAAGGCAGTGGTGCAGGGGAGGGGAGGAGAGGGGGCGACAGAGGGGCAGCGTGTGGAGACCACTGCGTGTGGAAGGCGGTGGTGCAGGGGAGGGAGGAGAGGGGGCGACAGAGGGACAGCGTGTGGAGACCACTGCGTGTGGAAGGCGGTGGTGCAGGGGAGGAAGGAGAGGGGGCGACAGAGGGACAGCGTGTGGAGACCACTGCGTGTGGGAGGCGGTGGTGCAGGGGAGGGAGGAGAGGGGGCGACAGAGGGACAGCGTGTGGAGACCACTGCGTGTGGAAGGCGGTGGTGCAGGGGAGGGAGGAGAGGGGGCGACAGAGGGGCAGCGTGTGGAGACCACTGTGTGTGGAAGGTGGTGGTGCAGGGGAGGGGAGGAGAGGGGGCGACAGAGGGACAGTGTGTGGAGACCACTGCGTGTGGGAGGCGGTGGTGCAGGGGAGGGAGGAGAGGGGGCGACAGAGGGGCAGCGTGTGGAGACCACTGTGTGTGGAAGGTGGTGGTGCAGGGGAGGGGAGGAGAGGGGGCGACAGAGGGACAGCGTGTGGAGACCACTGCGTGTGGAAGGCGGTGGTGCAGGGGAGGGGAGGAGAGGGGGCGACCAAGGGGCAGCGTGTGGAGACCACTGCGTGTGGAAGGCGGTGGTGCAGGGGAGGGGAGGAGAGGGGGCGACAGAGGGGCAGCGTGTGGAGACCACTGCGTGTGGAAGGTGGTGGTGCAGGGGAGGGAGGAGAGGGGGCGACAGAGGGGCAGCGTGTGGAGACCACTGCGTGTGGAAGGTGGTGGGGCAGGGGAGGGAGGAGAGGGGGCGACAGAGGGACAGCGTGTGGAGACCACTGCGTGTGGAAGGCGGTGGTGCAGGGGAGGGGAGGAGAGGGGGCGACAGAGGGGCAGCGTGTGGAGACCACTGCGTGTGGAAGGCGGTGGTGCAGGGGAGGGAGGAGAGGGGGCGACAGAGGGGCAGCGTGTGGAGACCACTGCGTGTGGGAGGCGGTGGTGAAGGGGAGGGGAGGAGAGGGGGCGACAGAGGGGCAGCGTGTGGAGACCACTGCGTGTGGAAGGTGGTGGTGCAGGGGAGGGAGGAGAGGGGGCGACAGAGGGGCAGCGTGTGGAGACCACTGCGTGTGGGAGGCGGTGGTGCAGGGGAGGGGAGGAGAGGGGGCGACAGAGGGGCAGCGTGTGGAGACCACTGTGTGTGGAAGGCGGTGGTGCAGGGGAGGGAGGAGAGGGGGCGACAGAGGGACAGTGTGTGGAGACCACTGCGTGTGGAAGGTGGTGGGGCAGGGGAGGGAGGAGAGGGGGCGACAGAGGGACAGCGTGTGGAGACCACTGCGTGTGGAAGGCGGTGGTGCAGGGGAGGGGAGGAGAGGGGGCGACAGAGGGGCAGCGTGTGGAGACCACTGCGTGTGGGAGGCGGTGGTGCAGGGGAGGGAGGAGAGGCGGCGACAGAGGGGCAGCGTGTGGAGACCACTGCGTGTGGAAGGCGGTGGTGCAGGGGAGGGGAGGAGAGGGGGCGACAGAGGGGCAGCGTGTGGAGACCACTGCGTGTGGAAGGTGGTGGTGCAGGGGAGGGAGGAGAGGGGGCGACAGAGGGGCAGCGTGTGGAGACCACTGCGTGTGGGAGGCGGTGGTGCAGGGGAGGGGAGGAGAGGGGGCGACAGAGGGGCAGCGTGTGGAGACCACTGTGTGTGGAAGGCGGTGGTGCAGGGGAGGGAGGAGAGGGGGCGACAGAGGGACAGTGTGTGGAGACCACTGCGTGTGGAAGGTGGTGGTGCAGGGGAGGGAGGAGAGGGGGCGACAGAGGGGCAGCGTGTGGAGACCACTGCGTGTGGAAGGCGGTGGTGCAGGGGAGGGGAGGAGAGGGGGCGACAGAGGGACAGCGTGTGGAGACCACTGCATGTGGAAGGCAGTGGTGCAGGGGAGGGAAGGAGAGGGGGCTGGGTGGGAGCAAGGGCGGTGGTAAGTAGAATCATTTAAAGATCACCTTTTGGATTAGCAGGGGAAAGGATCTGGGGGAGCTAGAATGTCAAGCACAGAAAGAAAGGAAAGAGGAGAAGAAAGAGGGAGAGGGGGAAGCGGAGAGAGGGAAAGAGACACCTTGAGACGGACACAGTGAGATGCAAAGGTCGCCTGCAGAAAGTGGAGGCAGTCAGAGTGGAGCTCAGGTCTCGCAGAGAAGGGACTGTGGACAATGTGACCAGGTGTGCGGGTGCACACCCATTAGATTTCACTTCCGCTTAGTGACTAGACTTACCTGCCTGTGAGCATCGCGGAGGTAGGTGTCATACCCAGTGCCCTCAACATGGTAGGATGATTTCGCTTCATCCGGTACCAGACAGAGAAAACTTAAATGAAAAAAGCCATAATCAATAACATAGTACTCTCACAATTCAGTATCTTTATATGTATTAAAATATCTAGCAATCTCTTCAGTTTAGTCAAGAATTATTGCAAGTGGAAATTTGATAAATGAAATTATATGTTCCTAAGTACTTAACTTGAATCAGTCTTACTGATCAAGTACTCTTTCATTAAAGCTTTTATTAAAAAAGTACTCATTCCTCTTAAAGTAGAAGTTAACCTAAAATGACTCTTTTTTTTTTTTTACATTACAACACAATGACAGATTGCCATGATATTTGTTAACCTCAGGAAATTGGCTTTCAAGTAAGTGAATTTAAGATTTTCATGCATCCTAATTTTACATCTTTTTTTTTTTCTTAATCCTCACCTGAGGAAATTTTTCATTTTTTATTCACATAGAGTGGGAGGGAGAGAGAGGAACAGAGAGAGAGAGAGACAGAGAAAGAGACATCGATGTGAAAGGGACACATCGAGTGGCTGTCTCCCACATGACCCCAACCAGGGCCGGGGACGAGTCGCAACCGAGGTACGTGCCCTTGACCAGAATCGAACCTGCAACTCATTGGTCCATGGGCCGATGCTCTAACCGCTGAGCCAAACCAGCCAGGGCCTAATTTTACATCTTGAGTGACATGCAGTGTTCTCTAGCCATCAGACAGAACCAGGCATATCAGTAATAGCACCACAAGGGAAGAACAAGAAGAAAATTGCCACAGAAAGGGCACTTTAAAAAAAAAAGGAAAAACACAAACAAAAAGGAATAACCTTGTGCTTAGCATATATGAATACATGTCTAATAATGAATACATGTCTAATAAGTACCATTTATCAAACTGGAGATTCTCAATGTTGTTGCAACTGGGAACTGCCTAAATGGTTTACATACACCAAGCAGGTGCTCTGCAGCTCCGTTACCCGGCGCGTGTATGTCTCCATCAGGGGCAGCCTCTCTCGGCTGCAGAGTTGCCCTGAGGAGCCCCCTTGCTAGAGGCATAACGGAAAGCCGACCTCACCCTTAGAGGAAATACGGGAAGACTGAGCTCATATTGTACCTTTGTACTGACCTAAGAGCAGAGCTACTCTTTGTTATAAAAACAAGCAGAAGAGACGTGAGTCAAATTTACATGGCAACTCACCTGTTCACAATTTTGTGGACTTCAGTTTTCCCGTCATTTTTGGGGTGCTCCGGAGTAGCAGGAGGGGAAGAACTAAGCCACTCTTGGTTTGACAAAGTGTTATCTGGTGAAATGTCAGTAAATAATGGATCTTCCTCCAGATCTCTAAGTTTAATTGAATGATGTATAAAAAAACAAAAACATCTCATTACATTTTCTAAACCAAGAGTCTCTGCTGTGTTCTTCAAAATCATTCTATTCTTACATAATTTTGTTTAAAAAGTTAAGAAATAATGTATTTATGTTTATTATATTTGTATTTATAGTACAGAGAAATTAACGTTTTATACGAACATTGAGAATACAGTGATTTTGTTGGATTTAATGAGTAGATAATACCACTTGTAATTTTACGGGACAGTAATCGTAAGACATCTAAGTTTTATTTTATTTTTTAACCTTTCAAACCGTTAGAGGTTCTTTTTTATGAATAAGGGAAACAAGAGGAGGGAGAAAAGGAGGATTCTATATGAAATGCTAAACTCAGAGCCGGCCAGAGACTCACACTGCTCCTGCGATCAGCCCATTCTCCACCACATCTTTATCTTCTGGGCACGCTGGCTTATATTCTGTGTAATTTCTTTCTTCAAGATTTCTTAGGACCAGGTTGTAAAGAATGTGCTCATTGGGTTTTTGTAAAAGATGCTCAAACATTCTTAGTGTCATTATGCTTATCTGAAACCAAAAATGATAAAGGCTAACAGAAAACTGTCTTTAAATAAAGTATTCTCCTTGCCATTCTATATAAGTCATGGTGTCGGGTTTTAAAGCCACATAAAAGAGATGTTGTATTCAAAACATCAAACGTATGTTAACATCAGTATTTCAAAGACTCTAAGTCAAATTCAAAATCATTACGTAGCTTACCTCATCAGATATGTGATCACAGTGTTCGATTAGCCTGTGTCTTAAAGGGTGTCTGTTAATTTCTGCCAGAGTTTCTGGTTCCCTCTGTTCTCCAAGGATAAAAAACACCATTTCTTCAAGCAAAACTTGGGAGGTTACTTGCCGAACAATACGATGAAGCAAAGCAGTTGATGTCAGAATACCCATCTCGGAACTACATAACAAACAGGTAATTAGTGGGCAAACATAACATAAACACAAGGATTTTTTTTTTTTTAAAGTAAAGAGGCCACTCACGTTTGCATTAACTGAGGTTCCATAACACCAATAAAAAATCTTTCATGAACAGCTTTGGCAAGAGCAACAGCAGTAGTCTGGAATATAACACAAGCATCATTATCTTAGTTTTAATGGAAAAGAGAGATTAATTTATAACATCAATAAATCGGTCTCTACCTTCCACCTGAATTAGTACGGGAAACAAACCTGTCTATTGACCATCTCATTGATGGCATACCAACTTAGATCAGACATTAGTTATTAAGCTCTTTACATCTTATCTAAATTTCCAAGAACAAGACAAACAGGATAAAAATATTATGCCAATCACCTTATGGTAGTAACATCTTCCCAAAGAAGAGAAATAAAGGGAGGCTAATGTTATCTCAGAAAGGGCTGTACTAGAATACTTAAAGAACTATAAAGGCAGAATTCGAACTGTAATTTAGTCTAGAGTTGTAATACACACACATATACATATATACACATTTCTGTTTGGTTTTATTTATTTTACTAACTGCGCTATTCTAAGACAATTCAGATATATCTGGAGACATAAACTGGGGATTCAGATTTCACGTGATAGACATTTACATTTCTAAATGACTAATAACAAAAAAAAAATATTCAAACCTTTTGTGCTTCCTTTATGAGTTGATCACAATAATCAAACCAGGAAAGAAATGAAATTAAGGCTCGTTTTCCTGGAAATGCCGAAGCATCTTCTTTATGACTATATGAGTCCAGACTGTAGGACACAGAAGAAATGCTAAGTTATCCAAACGCGTTAATCCAGTTCGGTACATATGGAAAAATGAAGGCACGTCAATGAACTCACACAGTATGATGTATTTACGGAGGCAATGCAGCATGCCTACCAGAGAGGGTTTATAAAAGAAAGCCAAAGACTAGAGGAAATCTTTTAAATAAGAGCTATAAATAATTTTCATCCTCATGTGGGAAGAGAGGGGCTGAAGCAGAACGGAGCTGCAGGAGGGAAACTATCACACAGTCCTCGTAGCTGTGCCGTAAACTTGACCAAGTAACAGGAATGAAGTGCTGGAGGTTCTCAGCGCTGGGAGAGAAGAACAGGAAGGTAAAGAAGGATCTGCAGAAGAAATGACTATCCTCCTTCTCTTCCCGCCTTAAAATGTGAGCCAGTAGAGCTAACAGGTGGGTCTGCCCGACAGATGTTGGCAGAGTACAGGGTGGGAAAAAACAAGTAAAAATCAAAGCAGGGTCAAAAATACACAGGAAAACAGCAATAGGTTATTATGTCAAAATATTATCCTGCTTATAGATGATGGGATTATGGGTGATTTTATTTATGTTGCTTTATACATAAAAAAAAACAATTTTTAAAAAATCCTCACCCAGGGATACTTTTCCATTTATCTTCAGATAGAACAGGAAGAAGGGAGGGAGGAAGAGAGAGAGAAACACTGATGTGAGAGAAACACATCGATTAGTTGCCACCAACACGACCCCAACTGGGGCTGGGGATGAACTGCAATGGAGGTACGTGCCCGTGGCTGGAATTGAACCCAGGACTCTTTGGTCCGTAGGCTGACGCGCTAACTGCTGAGCCAGACCGGCCAAGTCTGCTTTATACTTTTGATGACTTATAAATGTCCCACAATTTCCCTATAAGAATCAATGGGGCAGCCCTAGAAGATGTGTAGAAGGGGTGAGAGAACAAGGCAAGACGAGAGATTCTATACAGAAGGCCATGAAACATACAAGACTGCCCCAGGGGCCATGGACCTCATCTATAAAAAAGGAGATTACTTTTCTATGATTAAAAAAAATCTCAGATAAAGTTATTGGTCTTAATATAATTAAGGTCTTGATGGATCACTAAAATGAACAAAGGCAAAGTAGTTTAACTGTTAACAGCGGGGTTATCCCCAAACCTATTCCTTACCACTGATAATAAATTTAAAACAAGCATCACAAAATAATCCCAGTTAATGATCATGAGCAATGTTACGTGTTTCCAAGTGAAAGATTCTTATTATTGCAAAATAGAAATGGATTTAAATAGACAGGTGTGAAAAATCACTTTTATGGGAAAACACAAGTAACGGCTCTTACCCCCAGTTAATGGCTTCCACCGTCTCAATATCTAAGGGGTCCACCGACGGAGGCAGGGCCTTGTACAGGGAGGCAAGGCGGTCGGTCAGCAGCTCGCACAGGCACGTGCTCTGCGTGAGGCACTTGGCGGCCGCGGGCTCGGGCAGACTCGCCAGCAACATGAGGCCCTCGCAGGCTTTCACCGCGATCCGGCCGTCCTGAGCGGAAACACGCACCCCTTCAATCCCCGAATCAGATACCCCACGAGTTGTTTGAAAAAAAAAAAAGAACTTTAAAGGATTTAATGCTTTACATTAGAATGAGAATAGATTTTTTTTTCTTTTTGTTTTTTATCCTCACCTGAGGATATTTTTCATTTTTTGTTCAGGTAGAGTTGGAGGGAGAGAGAGGAACAGAGAGAGAGAAACATCGATGTGAAAGGGACACATCGAGTGGCTGCCACCCGCACGACCGACCAGGGCCGGGGACAAACTGCAGCCGAGGTGCGTGCCCTTAGCGGGAACCGAACCCAGGTCTCTCGAGACCACAGGCCGACACTCTAACCGCTGAGCAAAACCGGCCAGGGCTTTTTTTTCTTTTTGAAATGCATATAACTGTGATCATGTTAGGGGGGGAAAATTAAAGATGACGACTCACAGGACTTCTAGTGAGATTTAACAGAGAGTTCACTAGGTTGTAGTCCTGGTTTGGACGAACCACTGTGGCCTCCGACAGCGAAGTCACACTGAGGTTATCCAGGCTCGTGGACAGGTCGTCCACCTGCCGCGGGGGCTCGGGGTCGAACTCCGGCTGTTCCGTTCCGGCAGCCGCAGACAGCTCCTGTGGCCGGCAGGGCTGCCCCGTGTCTGTTGACAAGGAGTCTTGACCTTTTAATGTGTCTTCTGCAATTACACTGGCAGCTCCTTTGGAAGCCGATGATTTCAACTTATTCTGGAAAGGAACACATGCTTTGTAAGAGTCACATCAAAAGCCGTAGGAGACAGAAATCAGATCTAATAGGTTTTCCTATCATTAGCATTCCATGTCTAGCCGGCATGGCAATGGATGAGCGTGTTTTGACAAATGAAAATACTCCGACTCTACAAACTGTGTTTTAGACATTTTAAAACTGCAGGGGAATTTCTGATGCACTTCACACTGTTGATGAAATGTTTCCTCTGACAATGAGCAACGAACAGCACAGTGAAACCTGTCCGACTACTAGAAACAAGTGACCGCGGTGGAATAACAAGGTCCGGAGGCCGCGACTGCAGCTTTCTCCTCGCTGGGCTACGGGAATATATAACCTCAGCGCCGAGTCTTCGAAGATGGTTTTTCTCAGTTGTTTCCTTATACTTCTGCCCCATAGAAAAAGAACTCAATACTCTGAGGATATTTTTATGACTGTTTTTAAAAATAAAAATAAGATTTGCTTGAAATGTTGGCCCCTCCCTACACCCCCTAAACACAAAGAGAATCTTTTTTTTGAACCTCACCCGAGCATGTGTTTATTGATTTTAGAGGAAGTGAAAGAGGAAGGGAGGGAAGGAGGGGGGAGGAAGAGGGAGAGACAGAGAGAGAAACATCAATGTGCGAGAGAAACATCAATGTGCGAGAGAAGCATTGATCAGCCGCCTCCCATATGCAACCTGGTCAGGGAGTGAACCCACAACCCAGGCCTGTGCCCTGACCAGGAATGGAATCCACAACCATTTGGTATACGGGACAACGCTCCAACCAACTGAGCCACACGGCCAGAGCTAGAGAATCTTCACTGAAGTAGATTATTATTTCAAGGCAAAAGTATCTTGCTCTCCATCCGAAGTTAAGAGTGAAAATCAAGTCGCACACACAATTCTGAATTCATCATGAACCAGCTTCTCCATAGGGCCTATCACAGAAGTACATTAAATGCTGAATGAATTCAAAGTTCTACTTCCCAAGTTATATTACACTTGTATTACTGTTAAAAGCATAGTGTAGACCAATCTTCTTGAGAAATTGAGCTGATAGCACATATATTAGAAGAAAACAATTGTATGAGACTAAATAAATACTCCAAACGACTCCCCAATTTCCTATAAAATCATTGCATATCACGGTGTTTATGAATGAAAACATTTATTCCAGCAAAATACTAATCACATTGCTGGGAGCGGTATATCAGATAAGAATGGCAAGAGGAAGAATAAATGTAGAACAGCGCTCCTTACACTAATGTTTCTGGAACATTTGTTTAAAATTGCGGATTCCCGGTTCCACCTCGTCCCTCTAAACGAGCTATCTGGAGGCGAGCCAAGGGACCCGCATCTCTGAAAAGGCTCCCTAGGGGACAAGAACCTGCTGCCTTCTCTCCTGCACTCTGGTTCTTACTGAAACTATTTCCTTTCTACTTTAGAGATTTCATTGGTACCCACAGCACATAACTCCCAAATAACCCCCAAATCTCTCTCTCTCTCTCTCTCTCTCTTTTTTTTTGTTAATTCTCACCAGAGGATATTTTTCCATTGATTTCTTTTTAGCTAGAGTGGAAGGGAAGGTGGGGGAGGAGAAAGAAACAACACTGTGAGAGACACATACATTGGTTGCCTCCCACATCACCCTGCCAGGGCCGGAGATTAAACCCACACCCAGATATGTGCCCTTGACTGGGAATTGAACCTGTGGCCCTTTAGTCTGTGGGCCAACACTCTAACCACTGAGCCAAACTGGCCAGGGCAACCCCTGAATCTCTTAAACCTAGACTTTTCTCCCAAATTGCAGATTTGCTAAAGTATTCCCATCAGGATAAGATGATTGCTCAAAGCATCCAGAACCAAAATTACCATCTTCCCCTCAAAATACGCTTCCTCGGGGCTCCCTCCTTTCCAGCAGGGCAGCCGTACTGGGTCAGGAATGTGGGCGCTCATCCCTCCCCTGCTTGCTGCACAAGACCACACGGAGTCTACCGCCAGGGCCTCCCAGGTGACTCGCTTCACTCCAGCCCACGGCTTCCAACCTAGTTCCAGTCCTTGTTCCTTCTCGTCTGGGTCACTCGTCAGCCTCCAAGTTCATTTCCCTGCCTTTCTCTCCTCTCAAGGGATCCACCATACCAGAGCTGCCACCAATTCAACTTCTGAAGGCACAGGGACCATCGCGTAATAATATCCCTGTTCCAAAATCTTCAATGGTTCCCCAACGGCTGCAAGAAAGCACACGTTCCTCATCCTGCCATCCAAAACCTTTGGCAAGTCCTAGTCTATCTGTCCGGACCCTCCTCTTACCACATACCCAAATTATACCATTTCCTGGACACACCATAAACTTCTCTTTCCTTATGCTCACCCATTCTCATCCAAACACATCAAGGCTCACATCAAAGATAATCTCTTCCAAGAAGTCTTTCCTGATGACCTAGAACAGATGTAATCTCTGCATCTTTCTTATGATATTCATCTTACTCTACCTTAGATTATGTACTGTATCTGAATATCAGTCTTACCTTCGTCACCAGCCTATAAACTCGTTTCGGGCAAAGACAGTCTGACTCATTTAGCATATGCATTTATCCCAGAGTAGATGCATATGTCAGATGATATAGTATCTAATACAGATTAGATCTCAGGGGTACATGTTTGAGAACTGCAAAGGACTTTTGTGACCATCTATGCTTACAAGTAATAAAGCTGCATTTCTCTAAAGATTCATTCATTCATTAAGTGTTCATTCAACAGTTCTTCTGCACTGCTGGGTACCAGAGAAGCAGTGAGGACCCAAAAATTAACTAACAGGGTCCTTGTCCTGAGGAGCTTATTGACCCGCAGGAGAAAGTAAAATGCATATAGAAACTTTGATACCTGCCCTGGCTGATTTGGCTCAGCGGTTAGAGCACTGGCCCACGGACCAAAGAGTCGCAGGTTCTATTCTGGCCAAGGGCACGTACCTCAGTTGCAGTTTGTCCCCAGCCCTGGTCAAAGTTGTGCGGGAGGCAACCATTTGATGCATCTCTCTCACATCAATGTTTTTATCTCTCCCCCTCCCCTCCTTGCACTCCAAAGATAAATGGAAAAAATATTCTCGGGTGAGGATTAAAAACAAAAACAAAAGCTCCGATACCAGCCCTGGCCAGTTTGGCTCAGTGGTTAGAGCGTCAGCCTGCAGACTGAAGAGTCTTGGGTTCAGTTCCAGTTAAGAGAACGTATGTCAGTGCTGGTTTGGTCCCCCTGTCAGGGTCGTGCGGGAGACAGCCAGGTGATGCCTCTCTCACATCGATGTTTCTCTCTCTCTCTTTCTCTCCCTTCCTCCCACTCTGACTGAGGATAAACAGAAAAATATCCTCAGGTGAGGATTTAATAAAAAACGAAGAACAAACTCTGATACCAGGGAAACTATAATAACTGACATTAAAAGTATATGAATAGTCAATTCTCTTAACAACTTTAGTGTAAGCATACTTTGAAGAGTGTAAGTATACCATACCTCCAGAAAAAAATTAACCAAATAGGGATCTTCTTTCAGTTTTGCACATACAATACAGAGAAACTGAATTTCTTCATTTTCCGTTGGCGTTGCAAGGACTTCACCACAGAGTCGAATCAATTTCTGCCAAAATTTTTTTCAAAAATGTTTTAAGTTAGGTTATTTTTTTACATGTATGCAAACAGCTATCCATGTACCTTAAGGATATTTAAATTCTTCAAATAATGCAAACAGCTTGCATTTTTCAGAAAGAACACTATTTACAACCCCTGATATCAAAATAAGTGTGCTAGTAGTACATTTTTCAAATGCATTAACCTAAACATATTAGTGAAGTATTTAAAAAACTCTCCTTGAGATATCATGGAGGTAAGTTAAAGGAAAAATTAATGTAGAAAATATTTAAAGATAAATATAAAGACATGAAGTACATTGAATACCATGTTATACATCAAAGAAAGCTCGTGTTTGCTAATTTGCATGTTATTTTTAGAATAACTTCCTGTATTATTGTTACTCTTAGAAAAATTATATAAAATTCTATCTAACCAAATAATTCCGTGAGGGGACACGCTACCTGCACGGGCCTGTGCACGTTGATGTGCGGGAGCAGCGGCTGCTTGATTCTCCCCAGGAGTTTAGTGTAGAATCCCAGCACCTGCTGTTTCATTCCTGGAGGACACTGAGTTCGGAGAAAAGGAAAGCAAACGAGGAAAGAACAGACAGTACAAACTCACTTCCTCATAGGAGAGACAATGAATGTGCATGAATTCCACCCTCATGAGTCAATGCAATTAGCCAGGATAAAACTCTCACTCAATTATTAATGACTGGTAGTCTAGAAATAAAATGACATCTGGGACTCTAACAGAGCATATGGGACCAGAGGCTGATGTAATTATAAACAGCATGGTGATAACATGCTGTGGAGATCTGTTTAGTTCAGGTGACATCAGCCTGTGTATAGTCTAAACCCTAGCAGCGGTTCTCAACCTGTGGGTCGCGACCCCTTTGGGGGTCAAATGACCCTTTCACAGGGGTCGCCTAAGACATAACAGTAGCAAAATTACAGTTATTAAGTAGCAACAGAAATAATTTTATGGATGGGGATCACCACAACACGAGGAGCTGTATTAAAGGGTCGCGGCATTTGGAAGGTTGAGGACCACTGCCACGAAACTGTTACAGTTACCTCCTGGGCAAAGGAAAGCCAGAATCTTGTTCTTACATGAATGACAGGTAATCAATAACTTTCCATCATATATCTGTAAGAGTAAATGAGGCCTAACACATATATGTAAATGAAAGGATTCCTATGGTATAAACGTCTATGATTAAGTCCAACAATGCTGTTTTTAAACTAGTTGCAAAATTATTTAAATTATGACTGTAGGCAATTAATATATAATGAAGTTTTTATAACATGCCTGTTGTTTTAAATATTTGCTTAAAAGTAGGTAAACCTGATGATTATTCACATTGTGAACTAAAAGAGTATGAATTGATGTTATATGTTCTATAATTATCCTACTTACACTGCCTCAGACATGCTATCCAGGATTAGAATAAACTATAATCTTAAGCACAATATTTTTTAAGATAGCAAATACCTTGCATTATTCAGATAAAACACTTAATAGTTACAATCACCTATATCAAAATATATTTACTAGTAGTACCATTACTAACATTCGCTCAAAAAACAATGAATATTTATTCAGCTTAGTGTTGCACAATCCCTCTCCCCAAAGGACAGAAAAAAGAAGAAACGGGAATAAACTACAGGGTATCAGGGAGCTGTGCTGCCTAGAAAAATATAAATTGAATGAATTCCACTTAAAAGTGAATTGGGCCCTGGCCAGTTTAGCTTAGCGGTTGAGCGTTGGCCTGCGGACCAGAGAGTCCCAGGCTCAGTTCCCGCTAGGGGCACATACCACACACACACAAAAAAAGTGAACTGGTATAACAGATTAGTTAAGAGGAACATGTCATTAAGCTATTATTCATTACTCTATTTGGTGGTTAAACGTATCTATTAGTTTGGGTTTTTGTTTTTATTTTTTTTCAGTTTGATTTTCACACATAGTATAGAAATTCACAGAACAGAACCACAGATTTTTCGAGTTGAGGAGGCCACATGGTGATCACCTCCTTGTTCTGAGGAAGACTGATCTACAGGACTTGCTGAAGGTCATGGTATATTAGTGACAAAACCAGGCCTCCTAACCCGAACCTACCCTCAGAGCAGTGCGTGGTTTGAAACCTCTCTTGATAAGTAATCTGAAAGTTTTGTGAAACAGGATATTTATATTATACCAGCTTTGCAAAGATTTCTCAAGATTCATTAGGCCTAAAAACTCGAATGGTCTCTACTTAGTAGAGTTAATGTCAGGATAATCAGTGACATGCTCTTTCAGCCTTATGAAAAATAATTCCTATTTTTGTAACCCATTTTCATTGGGTTCCTTCTTATTTCCTTTGATTCTGAGCACATGTACTTGAACTTATTTTCATATCTGTTTACACTGAATTCTACACAGTCTAAGTACCAGTTGCTGAGCATTTGGGAGTTCTGCGATCTCTGTGTAAAGAGATATTCATACAGGCTGCATGCTTTCCTTTTCTTCACTATACTGACTTAAACCCTGCCATGCTGAATACATACCTCTGTAATTAAATTTAGTACCTGGCAGCTTCTTTATCTCTAAGACATGAATGCATGCATTACAAGCCCAAGAACACGATGTGGATTAAAAACTTACATCAGCTTTCCCTAAGGTATACAATGTTTCCAAGATCTTGTGATGAAGCAAATATTCCATACACGGCCCTGTCTCTCCAGATTCCCGTTCTTTTTCTTCTTGTACCAATATATCTAACATCTGTTCCAGATGAGACGGAATGTTTGTATCTGTCACTGGGGCTTTGTCATCTAAACCAACAAAAATGTTCATCAAACATACAAACATTTTTAAACTGCATATGTAAAGTAAATATTTTACTAAGTATTAAACTGCATATTTTAAATTAAATACGCTTTGTATTTCCCTATTCCTATTCGAACTGACAGAAACCTGAACTACACACTTAGGGGAGCTGTATAGTCGTGGTATAGTTATTTTTGCCAGAATTTAGACGATGCTTTTGGCATCTTATTCAAAAACTGAATCAAGTGTGAAATACACGGTGGAGGAAAAGTAAGTTTACAGTTGTGAGTCTGCGAAACAGTTTATCTTGTATTATTATTTATTAATTGTTGTATTATTTTCCATTAAACAACTATAAACCTAATTTTCATGCATAATAATGTAGAAATAAGAGCCACTGGGGAGAAAATAGAACATGATCAGGAAAAATACACGTAGTAAAATAATTTTGTATGTACTTGTAATTAAAATTTTTTTTTCAATTATCCGTTAGAAAGTCTGAATTTAAATATCTTTATATAGAAATAGGTTGGCCTTGAACATTAAACTTAATAACCTAGAAAACAGAGAGGACAGGTTCTATTTTGATTGCTACTGAATTACTTCTTAACACTGGGAAGTCAGACACCTAAAGCCCCTAACTCTTCTCCATCCATGAAAACATGAGGAGCCCAAAGAAAAAGGCTGGGAAGGAGGGGGTCAATAGAAAAAAAGGGGGCACATCTGTAATACTTACAACAATAAACATAAATAAATAAATAAATAAAATTTCTGACATCTCTCTTATTAACTGACAGCTATTCCCAAAGTCAAAGCTGCTTATCAGGAGAATTCTTATTAAACATTAATTTTTTTCACATAAAATTTAAATGACGCTTTTTACATATCACAGTTGGACTTAAAAATCACGTGGTTTTATCAACCTATTCTTATTATACAAGGGTTAAATTACTCTTACTAAAATGTGAAGTTTTATAGAGTGTTTAAGTACAAAATATATTCAGAAATGCCAAGTTCTTACTTATGTCTCTCTGGGCCTATACTTAGTACATCTATAGTTTGTACAACACAACCCCAGTGTGCTGTGTATTTGATGATATGTTGCCTAGCCTGTATGTATGCACACGTATGAATCCACATACACAGAGAGGAGACTATAATACTCAGCCTTAAGGAGAAAACAGCTGGAAAGACATTGTCTCTGTTGTTTTCCAGGAGGACATAAGTCTCAAATTTGAAATAGTGTTGACCAGTTATTAAAAATATGGGACCAAGAGTTAGACAACTTAGATTCAAATTCACTACTTAGATGGATGATGTTGGTAAACTACTTAAACCTCTGTAATATTGAGCTAACTGACACCAGTGAGTGCTGGTGTATGATTCCAAGGAATTCATATGGGTAAGCCCAGTGCCTTAGCACATAGTACGGATGCAGGAAACATTAACTCATTTCATATTCTTCTAAAACAAGTAGCCTAATGCTAATAAAAGATAATTTGTAAGCTTATTTAAAATTTAATTTTTAAAATTGTCTTTTCCCCTGTAACTGAAGACTTCTATAAACATTCCAGGAAAGAATGACTATTCAAGCATGGTTTCATTATAGTTATTTATGAAGAAAACGTGACCAGGCTTTTAAAATTGAGAAATAAATGAACTGTAAATTAGACTTGATAGCATTAAAACCCTAGCTCCTGGGCTACATTTAGGTCTCTGTGCCTTTGCATGTGCTGTTTCGTCTGCCTGTAAGTGCCTGTGCCCTCCTTCCTTCCTCACAACCTCCTATGCATCCTTTAGAACCCAGGTCAAACACTGCCTCCTCCTGTTTCTCCCTTTGTCCTCTCTCTGTGCCTGACAAAGACTTATTTGTCCCCTACCACACTTGTTTCTGCTACCAGATTGCAAAAAATCATTTAGGGCAAGAACTTCAAGCCTTTCTTTAAAGCATTTCCTTAAAGCCGCAGAACGGTTAAAAACTCAAAAGGGCTAAGAAGAGTCATTTGAAAAGATAGCTCCTCTCAAAAGTCCTCCTGTAGATCTGCGGTCTAACATCCAAATAAAGTTAAAAGTTATATTTTACATCTAAAATTAGATATATATCTACCTACCTACTTACCTATATGTAGTGTGATTTTTATTCATTGCACAAATATAAAGGATTTTTTTTTCTTTTCAGACAAATCACCCATGACCCCATCAGCTTGCCAAATCAACTACTTACCTGTTTTTATGTTTCCTTTCAGTGAAATGACTTGTGTCCAACAAGCATATGCACCAGTGTTTGCCTACACCTTCCTCAGGGAGCCCAAGAGCTCTAACCGGTGCTACTGTGTTTCCCTACCTTAGAGGTTGCCAAACTTGACCACCTTGCCTTCTATTTCGATAAATAAAGTTATATTGGACCAAAAGAATGTTTATTCTTTTACATATTACTGATGGCCAGTTTGCATTACAACAACAGAACTGAGTAGTTGCAGCAGACACTGTATGACCTACATCTGGCCCTGTACAGAAAAGGTTTGCCAATCCCCGACCTAACTACTCCTGCTTCCGATATTCACTCTCCACCCTCCCTCTCCACTGAGAAAAATAGAAACAACCAGACGGTAACCTCTGGAGTCTCCCTACACCACATCTACCCCCTTCCTGCATTTATACCCAACCTTCTCCTTTCTACCTTATTTTTTGGAGAAACTGTCCACAAGCCTATTTAAGACGAAGGCTCCACTTGTGTAGTAGATCCCATCCCCTCTTGCTACTTAGGGATACTGCTCAGAAATGATCTCATCTGACTCTTACACCCAACTTTCCCTCTCTACTAGATCATTCCCATCAAGTTATAAATTGCAATACTTTCAACCATAAAAAATAAGAAGAAGAATAACCCCCTTTTGATGCCACCTCTCCCTTCGGCTGCTCCTCCATCTCTCAGCTTCCCTTCGCACCAACACTCCCCAAGGCAGCAACCCACCTGACGCTGGGACACCACCCTCTCTTGGTTTCCTTAACTATTATTCTCATCTGCCTAGCCCCTAAACGTTGAGTCCAAGGGCTCAGTTCCTGAACACCTTCTCTCTTCCATCTATCATTGCTGCCTAGATAATCTCATCTAGTCTCATGACCCTCAATTTCATATCCTTAGTTTAGACCTCTACCCAGAATTCCAGATGTCTATTTCCAATTGTCTATTTGACACATGCAACTGGATAATGAGCATCTCAAACTTAATATGTTGAAAAGTCTCTTTCAAATCTCTCTTCCTGCCCTGGCCGGTTTGGCTCAGCGGTTAGAGCGTCGGCCTGCGGTCCTGAGAGACCCGGGTTCGGTTCCCGCTAAGGGCATGTACCTCGGTTGCAGTTTGTCCCCAGCCCTGGTTGGTCGTGCGGGTGGCAGCCACTCGATGTGTTCCTTTCACATCGATGTTTCTCTCTCTCTCCCTCCCACTCTACCTGAACAAAAAAATGGAAAAATGTCCTCGGGTGAGGATAAAAAAAAAAAAAAACAAATCTCTCTTCCTGCCGTCTCCTCATTCTCTATTTTTCCAGTTCAACTGCCTAAGCCAAAATTTTGGAGTTATCCTTGACTCTTATTCTCTCATATCCAATATCCAATCCATCAACAAAACCTCCTTCAAAACATACCCAGAATACAATCACTTCTTACCACCTCCACCCTGGTCTAAGCCACCATCACCTCTCAAACCACTGCACTAGTTCCCTAACTGTTCAACCGGCATCACCCCTAAATTCTCACAGAAGCCAAAGTGATCCCTATAACACAGGTTCTGTTCCACCTCTACTCAGAAGCCTCCAATGGCTGCCCACCTTAGCGTACAAGCCAAAGCCCTCACAATGCCGTCCAGGGTCCTGTGTGATGTCATCTCCTACCACTTTCCCCTCGTTCACGCTCACTCTCGCCATGGCCACGCAGGCAGCCGTAATTCCAGGAACCTGCCCGGCATGCTGCCTGTCCTAGCCTTGGGGTTTGTGCATGAGGTCTTCCTGCCACGTTCCCAGACTTGCTTCCTTTCTCCTTCTCACTTCAGCTCAGCTCGCTCAGCTTGGGCAACGGGGCTCTCTCTAACCTAAAACAGCCACCTGTCAGCCCCCGTACACACTTCAATCTCCCTTAGCCTGCTGCCTTTTCTCTAACATTTTCAATGGAAACACTGTATATATTGGTCTATTTATTGTATGCTTCCCCCAAACAATATATTAGCTCTGTTATGGATTTTTTTTGTTTGCTGGTTCAATCCTCCAATGCCTAAAACAATGCCAACACATAGTAGGTGCTCAATAGGTATATATTTTTCATGAATCAAAAAGAAGAATTAAAAGTAAATTGTTTATCAACTTAAATATACAATAACTGAAGAGTTATCTGAAATATAATATAGTACTTCACAAGTTTTCCTGTTGAACTGACATTAGCATTGTTTCTTACCCGAAGTCTCTATGTAGTAATGGGTAATTGCCTTCCAGTGATAAACGAAATCTTCTTGTAAAGGAAGAGAAGGTGCTAGCTGCACAAACACACAAAGACCACAATTAGTAAAACAGCATTCAAGTTTCCCATAAAATATGCCTTTGTATTTGTCTACTGATCATGCAAAAACAACATAAAAATAAGGGGTGAGCTTTAATTTGCTTCCATATGCTAGATATCAAAGAGAAACAACGTGAGTCAAATCCAAGAGTAAATATGATTTATTAAGAAAGAGGAAACACACATTTATCAACATTATTATTAAATTGCAGTACTATTTGTTCCTTTCCCCTGAAACTAGTAACTACATATGGCCTCAAAAGTAACTGTGTGAAATGAAAACACACGATACTCTATTACTAAAGTATCAGTAAAATGGAATTATCAGTAACCAGGGATCTTTGTACCGAGGACTTTGACATTTAAAACAGAGAAATGCTGCTAGGTAATGAGTTACCACTACTGGAACATATACCAGAGTCAACCCCGTAATCAGATTAAAACTGTTCCCTACTCTCCGTGACATACAGATGTAAATCTTTTCTTTTTTAAGCCTAGCTTAGGCAGGGCATATCTTCAGCAAAATAACTACGGGAATAAGACACTACCAATTAAAAGTCCACAAAGTAAAAAACGTTTTACATTTTAGCTTTGAAATTTACTTCAGTGGTTTTAAGACAAAAATTATAGCCCTTCAGCAAACCTACAAGTATTTTAAATGTTTGTTAAATGGGTAGGAAAAACTTGGTATATCTTCAACACTTTCTTTTGCCGAGAGAGAGAGAGAGAGAGAGAGAGAGAGAGAGAGAGAGATTGATCTCCCTCCCCCCACCCCAGCATTGCTAATAAATTTTGGTCAGAAAGGACAGAGTTCAGCTAGCTCACTTAAGAGCAAATAGGTTTCTATTCTGGAAACCTAAACTCTGGCAGAATAACCTTCCAATTTCATGTACTTCACCCAGACAGACGACCTCACAGGTCACATTACTCCTATACTTCTACTTGCTCCCTTTCGATTTCTTGGTGTTCCCAGCAGAGAGCTCAAAGTTTGCAACCATGTGAAAACAACTTCCAGACTATTGGGCAAATGATAAACACTGGTTTCGATCTAGAAGATGAAATGCATTTCGGGAGATGTTTTATCCCGAGGATGTTTTATCGGTTTTCATCATCTTAACACGAACTCTTCCACACTTGCCCATTCATACAGCTCTGAATAATTCATTCCGCTCCGATTAAGAGAATGTAAGGATTCATCTCATTTTCAAATAGAATATTATGAAGAAATTTTCAACACTTTAGGATCTTTAACAAGGGAGTTAAAACCTTTAGGATACTATACTTCAAGAACATGGAGAGAGAAATCACTTGTGGGAGACTGAGAAAAAAATTAAAAAGAAAAATAAGAATGAAAATGTTAATTTAGAAAAATAATCTTCCTGAAATTTTTGGATTAAATAAAAAAAAATCTGTTTTAATCTGTTTAATTTTAGAATCTTCTTCAAAACATAAAATATCTCTTATTTCTTAGACCTGTTTTGTTTTTTAATATACCAGCTTTAAATATAGTTAAGTATGTTAACAACTGGGACAAACCTAAATGAAATTTGGCATTTCAAGAAATGTACCTAGTTTCTTAAGTATAAGTGTTGTGATTTGTTAAATTTGTTTGAGGGAAACTCCTGAGTATATAAGATCACAGCATCCTTGTTCCAAATTATTTTACCCATGGGACTTAAATCCATTTCCAGGGTAAGTCACTAAATCAGAGGTCTTATAGGATTTGTGTCAGGACCTTTGTAATTATACTCAAATTCAAAGGAGGCTGTTGTTGCTTACTTATGACTACCTCTCTCCCAGGAGTTTGATTTAAAGAAAAAAACTTACTTAAGTAGCCAGTGAAACAGTTAGAAATTGCTAATAACTTAGTTCAGTAACAATCTTGTTCGAACATGGGTAAATTTCCTTATTTATGTAAAACTTCCTAGTAAACTTGCCTCTTTCATTCCTAATTCTAACATGCAAATTATCTGCTTTATCATTGCGTACAAACATTAATCCTCTGGATAAAAACAATGGGGGAAGAGATGTGTAAATTAAAATGAGCAGATTCTAATTTGAGTTAACTTTAACAACACAGAGATTCAATTTTTGAAAATTCATGCAATCACTATCTCAACCAAAATTTGACATAAATGCTTAACTTATCTACAGCTTTCTCTGGAAAGTCTTGTCAGACTCCCTGCCTAGGATATAGTCTTTTCCACGATGCTTACAGAACCTCTACCAGTCTGCACCCCCTCTCCTAGGCCTCACCCCATATTTGTATTGTGGAATTATCCATCTTCTCCACCAGACTGTAAACTCTATGAGGGCTGGAGTCGTGTCATCTTTATCATCACTGAATCCCCGGTTTCCTACTCAGTGATGGCACATAGTAACCATTCAATAACATTGCTTGAGTGAATAAATAAAGGACACAGCAACTGCTACATTTGATAAGTAGTTATGTGCCAGGTGATATGCTACAAAGTTTACACTTCCTGTGTAGTCTTAAATTCTCACAATAAAATCCTACTTTTCCCAGACAAACTCCTATTAAGACCCAAAGCCAGATAACTGACTTGCCCAAGGAAACACTGCTTATAACAAACCCCGGACTGTCTTTCTTCAAAATACCTACCGCACAAAGAATGGACTCTGATAATCCACACGAGAACTAGTCTTCTCAAAACCACATCTGCGTACTGTCTCGCCTGTACTGTGAACCATGCCTAGATCTTTTAAAATGCTTCTTTCCCCCAACTTTTCTAATGCCCTTCCTCTCTTCTCTGCCTCTAAAGTCTAGCTCAAGTCTCACTTCCTCCAGCAAGCCTTTTCCAACGACTCCAATCCTAAGTACCTCCTCCCTTCCCCTTTTAGAGCTCACTGGCTGAACGGCCACCCAACTAATAAAATAATAATAATAATAATGGTTAACATTTACTAAGCTCTTACTATGTGCCAGGCACTGCACTAAGCACTTAAGGTACATTAGGTCATTTAAATTTTCACAATTCTATGAGTTAGGGACTGAAACCCTGTCCAGTCTGGCTCTAAGGGCTGAGCCACACTCTCATGCATTCCTTATACTTTAACTTGTGCATTTATGTTCTGTATCCCAAATTAGACTGGTAACATTGTGGCCATGGCACAGGCACACCTTGTTCCTCTTGCCCTGTGCCATGCTTTCACCCTGAGCTCATTTAACTTTTGCTGAATGACCCAAGGACTTAAGTTAGAAATCACTTGTTGGAAAAGAATATCCTTAAGAAAACAGGGCATATGTTTTATTTGAGACTTCTATTCCCCGGGCAGAGTAGTTTTTTGTTGTTTGTTTGTTTGTTTTTAAGAATTGCTGGAACCCCAAATCATCCCTCTAATTTCCAATTCTGAAAGATGACTTTAATTGCATTAATTAGTTAAAATGAATAAAACTTTCTTCCCTGGCACTGCCCTTTATCCTCTTGGACTAAGTCTGCCCTCAAAGGATGGAACTGGCTGGAATTGAAAGAGAACCAGTCCCTGGCAGATTACCTATCACAGACTAGGTCCTCAACAAATACTGAATTGCACTAATTGGAAGGTGTTTTATTTACCCTTTAGAGAATTTGTACTAAAATGACCCAGTCCAACCTCAGAACAAGAGAGGCCTGATTTCGATTTGTGGCATGTGCAACTAACAAAACAGATTCATTTCATAACTCTTACTGGCCGATCATTTCTATGCTAAGGAAGACTGTCATTTCTGAAAAGAGACACAAGAATGACAAGTTTTGCCCTGGCCTGTTTGGCTCAACAGTTAGCGTGTCAGCCTGCAGACCAAAGGGTCTCAGGTACCTCTCTCTGAAGATAAATAGAAAAATGTCCTCAGGTGAGGATCAAAAAAAGAATGACAAGTTTAGTTTTTCATCAAGAATTTCTCTCCTCAACTCAAAATGCAGTCTATCCGCTTAATGACACATCTTCAAATACTGACCTTTGAAAATATCTTAGTTTTTTTTTTTTTCTTGTAAGCAGTTAATAGGAAGTGAAGAGAAACCATCAATTAAACACTAAGGAAAACTCTACCTTTAAATCTCACTTAAATGGATATGTATCTGGTCGACTCTCAAAAAACTCTCAAAGGCTGATCCAATTGAATAAAGAAACCTAAATATAATAATACCAAATGGGAAAACATTAGTCAGACAATGACAAACTGAAAAAGGTCATGTCACTGTTTGCATACAGGATTATCTCCTGTCTCTGCATAATCCTGATAATTAGGTTAATTGTAACACTATATCAGAACATACTAACTGAGCATACAAATGAAAAGGAATACAGAGAAAAGCTAATGAGATGAACTGAGGAATGCTAAGATGAATTTATAGAAAAAAAATGTTGAGCAAATAAATAAATAAATGGAACTGAATAAATGGAAACCAATCTTGGGCTAGGAAAAAAAATATTCCTCAAGTACCACAAAGATGGCTTATTTGTCATTAGGTATGAGTCATTAGGTATGTCAAGAGATATGTTAGAAGAAAAAAATTAGTATGCCGAATTTTTTTCATGAGCTTTAATGTCATATCAAGGTAAACTGGGAAGTATTGCAGCTGAAAACATCAACTCTGAGCCAATAAAAACAATATATTTCTAAATTTAATGCGTTAGTTCTGAGGACCAGTGAATATAATCCACTCTTTCTCACTAACCTCAGCAAAGTAGAGAACCTGGATATTACAGAACCAGTCAGACAATTTACATGGGTAATTTGGTAGAAGCTAACATGTACAATTATAAAAAGATAATGAGGACTAAAAACACAGGCCTCAGGGACATAAATGGGTTTTTACTGGGTGAAGATGAAAGCCATCTTTTTCTAAGTAATTATTTCTATAAATATAAGACTGATAGATAAAGGACCTAAATAACGTAGTACGTTTTTATTCCCAATTATCTCACTATTAAGCTGTATTCAGTGTTTAAAATTAAATGTTTGTTGATGTTTTAAGTTAAGGAATAACGTAAAATATAGATGTCACTGTTTTTACACATTTAAGTTAAATTCTTTTAACATAAAGATGCTGCAGACTGACTGTGCACAATCAAGAAAAGACAAATAAAAGCTGCCTCAGCCAAAAACTCTCACCTCCCTCATGGGTGATACTGCTCTTCATTCATGAACACTTTCATTCTTGATTTGATACACACGTTTTCCCAAGAACTAGTAGTAAAGCAAATGATCTTAAAACATTTCCCACCTGTCACTTCAAATAATTCTCCTAAAGCTTGTTTTCATTACTGATTTTTTTAAAAAATCATGTTATTTTTATCATCTGGCAGTAAAAACCGTTGTACTGTCACTGGATTTTTAACAAAGCTGTGCGGATTTTCATGGGCTCTATCCCACAATCTAACACAGAAGAGAGAATGCCATTTTTAAAAATGAGCAGAGTAATAGTTTCTTGCAGGGAGCACTTCTCGGTGTGGGCAGTTCCCCCAGAGTAAAGTCAAGCAACTACAGTAAAGCACGAAGACGTCTTATTATCCACACAGCCACAGACATGTTTAGTTCCTTCTCGTGTGCTCGCCTGCTGGGACCTTGGGCAGTGTCTGCGCGGGGTCCCGGGTGCTCGGAGGGGAGCACAATGGCAGGATAACCCGGGGCGTCCGGGAAGAGGAGGCCGGGGAGGAAACAGATGGCCGGGGCCGGTCAGGGCTCGGGCTGCCCAAACCGGACTCGCCGGGACCCTGCAAACTCCTGGGTGTCACCTCGGTCAGGCGGGTCCAGCCCAGTGCGGCCCCGGGCCTGCGAAAGCAGAAGCTGGCGAGGCCACGGAGCAGGGGCGGGCGGGCTGCGCCCTCGCCAGGGTCGCCCCAGGTAGGAGCGCACCTTCCCGCTCGCCCACCCCAACCGAACCGGCCGAGCGGGCTGGGCCGTTTCTTTTGTCTCGCTCACGGCTGAGCGCTTTCCGCCGGGGAAGGCGGACGGGCAGGAGCCGGGGCGCTGCCCGGGGCTCCGCCAGGTGCTCCCGGCTCCCCGTCCCCGGCAGGGCGGCAGGGGACCCCGACCCCGCGGCGGCGGTCCTCCGGGCACCGCCGCCCCGTCCCGAAGGGGCCCGGAGAGGAGGGGCCCGCTCCGAGCAGGCCCGAGGCCGGCGCCCCGACGAGCCGGCAGCGCCCGGCCGGGGAGCCGGGCCGAGGCCGGCAGGAGCTAGGCCGCCGCCATGCCGGCCTGTGGCGCCCGGGGCCGCGGCCTTACCGCCTCCACGGCGTGCTGCAGGATGAAGGCGAGCTTGGAGAACATCCTGTCCCGGGACTGCAGCAGCTTCTCCCGGGACGACCTCGAGAGCTCCTCGATCCGCCGCCGCCGCCCCTGCTGCGGCTGCCGGGGCCGCTCCAGAGTGAAGGCCGGTGCGGGCGCGGAGGACGAGCGGGAGGCCGAGGGGCCGGCGGGCGCTCGCGGGGGCGCGGGCGGCGCGGGGCTCCGGCGGGCGCGGGGACGTGGCGGGCGGCGGCGAGGCCGTTCCGAGCGACTGGGGCCCGCGACGCTCCGGCGGCCGCGGCTCCCTCCGGCTGGGACACGGTGGCAGCCCCGCGCAGGTTCCTTCCGCCCGCTCTGCCCGCCTCGGCCTGCAGGGGGCGCCGTCGCGGCCCGGGGAGCCCCGCCAGGCCTGCCCTGCGGCGGGGGCCGGGCGCCGCGGGGGCGCAGAGCGCGGGGAGGCCGCGGCCCGGGGCGGGACCCGGCCGGAGCGCAGCCGCCGCCCTCCCGGCTGCGGGCCGCCTCGGACCAGCTCCCTACGTTTCTAAAATGCAGCCAGGCCCAGTGTTGCTGCCGGTGGAGGCCACAAGCCGATTTGTGGGGCGGCGGGGCCATCCGTGTCCGTCTTTTCAGGGCAGATTTGGAGAACGGTAAGAAAAGCACAGCATTCCCGACGCAGAGTGCACCGTGGGTGTAAAGGCTAAACATCAGAACAAGGCAGCTAATGCTGGCCAAACGGCTTTGCAAACTGGCAAAGATATCACTGTCATTACACATTAAAATAGGAAGTCCCAAACGGACAAATGGTAAGGTAGGCCCTTAATCATTTGTGACCTGGGTTATACTCAGGTGCAATGAATCCAGTGTAGCATTTTCCATCCAGCTTATCGGATGGCACTGGAAAGACTCGGAAGGGATTTTAGGAAATGCACAGGACAGATGAGTGTCGCTACGGTGTAAGCACTAGAACGGAGGCTTCTTAAACACTATGCAACAGTGTCAATTAGTCACGCCTCCTCGGAGCACAGTTCGGGCTGGTGAAATTTAGGGCGAGTTGATACAAATGATGAATACGTTCAGGTCCTGGAGAACTTTGTGCTTGTTTTGTTAGTTTTGCTATTTCATCAGAAATACCATTAAGTATTGATAAGATGAGGGTGGAGGAAGTTTTGCACAGCCAGGGATGGAAAGACGGATTTGCTGCTGAGCTGAGAAAAGGCAGAGTGGCCACCAGCAGTGCAGAATGGTTAAGAGACTGTCTCTGGACAGGAGCCTGAATTGAAAACCAGCTCTGCTGATCACTGTGGCAAGTTATTTAACCACTGTGTGCTTTAGTTCCCTCGTCTCTAAAACTGGCATGAGCTCTGGCCTGTTTGGCTCAGCGGTTGGAGCATCGGCCTGCGGACCAGACAGTCCCGAGTTTGGTTCCCGCTAGGGGCACGTACCAAAAAAAGAAAAAAAAACCTGGCACGAGGTTGTGTGGAATTTTACTAATATATGTAAAACAGTGCCCAGTCCATAGTAAGCAATGCATATGTATTTGGTATCATCATCATCATTATTATTAGCAATATTAGTATTTAACAACAACAAAAATAGGGCCAGAAATAAAAAATTTAAAGAGGAGACTTTATTATATTTAAAAAAAATTTTTTTTTTCACACTTGTAGCAAGGATTACTATCAAACTGCACTCATTGGGCCAGAGACCCTTGTGGTGTTAGAGAAAGTTGCCCCTCATGTAGCACACTGCCTACACTTGGGAGGCCAGCGGCTGCCTGGCCTCTCAACTCCAGGTTCCAGTAATGTGCATTCTGTTTTGTCTTCTTTTTCTCCCGTTTATGTTGCTTGTATCTTTGCATGGCAGGTAGACTGGACCTTAATGTTCTGTGTTCTGGCCTGCAGAATGCTCGGGACGTCTTCTGTTGTTTGCTAAAAACTAAAATGTGCTCCTAACCGAATTTTGGCTACTTGTGTCTGCTTCAACCAACAGTCCATGATGGATATTGTTATTATTATTCACACAGTTTAAGATGGTTAGTCATATTATTAACCATAATTATTTTTCCTGTCCTAATTGTCCTACATTTATATGATATTTTGCATTTCCATAATGCCTCACAACCACTAATTGTATGGGGAAGTCTGTAAGACAGGCATACCTGAGTTGTATGCATTTGATGATGCCTGTTTTTGTGTACTAATGAACACAATAAAATATATCTTTTACTCGAGATTAATAGCAATATTTAGGATGATGATTCATTACCTGATGTCTAGATTCCAAGACATACAAATCTGACTAGAATTGTAATTGAGCAGATAATCTTATCTCCTGTTCTCATCCCAGAATACCTGTAGTGGCACTAAGATTACTGCCTGCCTTATGCATGGACAGAGTTGAACCTACCTTGAGGAAGTGTGATTTGAGAAAGCATAACGGAGGGTTCCCTTGGCCTCCAAAACCCTTATATGTGGTTGCCTGAGACTCCTCGATTGTGCCTTTAACTTAAGCCAGATAAGAAGTTTAGTTCCTTCTAAAACTAAAATACTCTTGGGAGAGATAACAAACACTGCCATTAATTACACCTCAGGGTGAATGAATTTGTTAAATTCTCCTCTGAATTAATCAGCGAGGACACAGAAAAATCCATGAAATTGAAACTCAGTTGGGATGGATTTGAAAGGGGCAGAAAGAGGAAATGGAGTTAGATGATGCCTACGTTCAGACTTTGGCAGACTTCTGGTTAAATATGTGCATTGAATTTAGCAACATTGCCTCCCCCAAATGCCATTAAAATTAAGGGGATTTTTCAAGGGGTTTTAAGGTATAAACCCAAAAGGACAAATAAATTAAGACAGGGAATAACAACAACATAATTTTGAGAACTGGAAAGTTTCTGTAAAGGAGGTAAGTGGTGTGGCTGACCTAAAAAAGTAAACAAAACAACTGCAGCCTAAGGCAACAATTAAGAAAAACAAGAACCAAAGTGATGCATTAAGACATTCACAGAAGTTCTCAATGGCTCAGGAATTGGTGGTCTTAGGTACCTCTGCAAGTGGAAACAATAGTGGGACCAAAAGTAGCAGAATGAATTAGAAGTTTATTTAGAAATGGATAGAACTCTCCCCATTCCGCAAGATTATTGGCTAACTGCCCCTTTCCCACCCTGGTACAAGATTAGATGCATTCCCGGAAAGTACAGTGGTTCCTTATTGAGGGAAAAAAGAAGAGAATTAAGTGAAAATAAACCTTGTAAATATTGAGATACACGTCCCCAACCCTCATCGTCCTCTTGGCTCAGATTCTAGGCATCAGGCTGATCTCTCCAGATAGAGAACAGGAAGAGTCCTCTCTGGAGAAGCTCCAGACCGAAAGAATAGACCTACGATCCTGCGGAGGGAACCCAGAGTCTGCAGTGCGGCCCTCAGCTGATAAGCTCTGTCCATGTTCGGAGCTTCAAACTGTTGTTTCATGTATCTCTTTTAAAACAGAATCAGACAGCCTGGGGTCATCAGCAGTTGGAAGAAAGCTTGTAACGTTACTGTGGAGACACAAAGAAAAAAAAAAAAAGGACAAAAAGGAACCTTGGAAGAAACAGAGTTGCTTGCATTGAACAGATAGGGAGACATGGGGAAGAAAACTTAAATAATAAAAAACAAACAAAAAACAACACTGTCATTACTATTCCCAGAGAGATAAAAGAAGATACTGCATCAGTGAAACATGAGTGGTATGTTATTTTCAATAAACACCATTTAGAGATCATTTAGAAATCAAGAATATGATAACATGAATTTTAAAACAACATTAAAAAGATGGAAAATAAACTTGAAAAAATTTCACAAAGACTACAGCAAATTGATATAGGGATGAAGCATGGGGGCGGGTACAAATCAAAGGGGTCAGCCCAGCAGATCCAACATCTGAATAATTGCAGAGATAGGGAGAGGAGATCATTGAACTAATAAGTCAATGTAATTTTATAGATCTGAAAGGCATCAAGAATTATAATGACATATACTTTTCAACAACAGCATGGGAAGCAAGAAGGCAATGCCTTCAAAATTCTGCGGTAAAAGAATTTCAATCTAGAATTCTGTTACCAAGCAGGTGTCAATTAAGTATGAGGGTAAAATAATTTATTTCGGATGTGCAAGGTGTTGAAATTTATTTCTGCCTTGCTGTCTTTCTCAGGAAGGTATCAGAACCTGTGCTCCATCAAAACTCAGGGAATAAGACAAAGGAAAACAACAGAGGAAGGAACTAGGTAATGCAGCCCACCATCAGAAGGAAATTTCCAGGATGATGGTGAAGCAGAATCCCAGGATGACGCTATGCATCAAGCCATGATGGCCAACAACCAGCCCAGACTGGAGCAGGTCAGAAGAGAGTTCCTTAAGAAGATGAAACTAATAGATGGGATATCTGTATGAGTCTGAGCAGATATACAATAGAGAAGTAGAGTTTGATATTGGATTACTGATAAATACAAAGAAAAAAATTTAGATTATTAACACCAAGAAAAATAAAATAGGATGCAGGAACAAGTAATCATGGGATAGTGGCTCCAATATAAACAGTATTGACATAACCATAATACTGTGAACACTGATCTCACTAAAATGATAATATTGCTACAGTGGAAAGATGAAAAGGTGGATGTGTGTTGGAGGTGGGAATGGGGTGTGTATGTGAGAGAGAAAGAGCTAAATCCTCTGTTGTGGGGAAACATTCCATATTGCTTAAAACATGAGATTTGGCCATAGTATTATTTAAAGACAGGAAGTGACAAAAGGGTCCACTCAAAGTGCTGAACAAGGTTGCCTCTGTGGAGCAGGAAACTGGGAGTTTGGGAGGAAGAACAAGGGCTTTCAAAACAAACCTTGTAAAATTTCTTGACTAAACAATGTGCTGGCGTAATTAATGTGCCCAAAGTTGGCTTGGCAAGGGGAGAAACTAGAGGCAACAGACCATTTTTGGTGCGTTCTGAAAGTTCAGACAGGAAATTATAAGGGTCAATAACTGTGGGAATAGGAAGGACATGGTAGACTTGAAAGATGAGGTGAGATCAACCAAATTTTGTAAGTGATTAAATATAAGGAGTGAGTGAGAAGAGGTCAAAGATGTTGCTGGAGTTTCTAGCTTGGATCAGGGTAGGTGAAGATTCCATTAATTAAGATAGGGAATATGGAGATGTATAAAAAGAATGAGATGAGTTTTTGTTGTTAGGTTTGCTTACCTATATGATGACATCTATGGGAATATGTCCAGTATGGATCAATACTTTTGTATTAGTAAGTCAGGAGAGAGATCTGGGCTGGAAATAAAGATTTGAGAGTCACCTCTTAAAGATGTTAATCGATTATATAATTGTGTAACCACTCTTCTATATACCTTAAACTAATATAAAATAATACTGAATGGCAACTATAACTGAAAAATAGTTTTTAAAAAAGAGATGGAAATATAGGAATAAGTGAATAGTTCAGTGTAATGGTATAGTGAAAGAAAAAAAAGACAGAATAGATACAAACTTAAGGATTTAAGGATAGGGATATTGAAGAGGAATTCATTGAAAAACAAACAGTCAAAAAGGTAGGTAAACATTGGGAAGAAGTTCAGGGAGAAGTGAGTTTCTAAAATTGGGAGGTTGCCCTGGCCAGTTTGGCTCAGCGGTTAGAGCGTCGACCTGCGGTCCGGAGAGACCCGGGTTCGGTTCCCGCTAAGGGCACGTACCTCGGTTGCAGTTTGTCCCCGGCCCTGGTTGGTCGTGCGGGTGGCAGCCACTCGATGTGTCCCTTCACGTCGATGTTTCTCCCTCTCTCTCCCTCCCACTCTATCTGTACAAAAAATGGAAAAATATCCTCGGGTGAGGATAAAAAATAAAAAAATAAAATTGGGAGGCTGGTTCAAAAGAAAACAGTGAGTTGGCATAGGCCACAGGCTTCATCTCCTGAACCCAACCCTGCAGCTGCCGCAGAAACAAGAGGGAGCTGACAGAGCTCAGAAACGTACACACTGAAAAGTCCTTGGCAAGTACAGCAGACACCTCTGGTGTTTGGTGTCACTTCACCTTGGCCCACTTCTGATTGCAGTGGCGGTGGGCAGTTCCGGGCAAGCTCAGGCTGACCTCATGATGACAGCATCTCACCTGCTGCAAATACCCTGGTCGGAATGCCTGCCTCTGCAGCCTCTGAGCCGCCGGCCTTCCGAAGGCGCGGTGGGGTAAAGTCCGAGGGGCAACCCTGAGCCAGCGGAGGATGGAACCGGGTGGATAAATACCCCAGCGTCCTGTCTCTCTGATGGGAAGCAGTTCTAGGAAGTATTCTGGACCCGTCTCGGGAGGGCCCAGTGGGATCAAGTACCCCCTGACCACAGTGGTGACCTCAGTAACCCTGTTACACTTCTCCTCCGTTTTTACTCTTCTCGCTCCTTCACTTCCTGGGATTTGAAGTCAACTACGTAGAGTCGAATCTTTGTCTCAGGCTCTTCTGTGGAGGAAACCCGCGGTGTGGGGAGTTAGAATGGAAGAAGCCCAGAGGGAAAGCCAAGTGCCCCACATGGGGTATGGACTGAGGGGGTACACCTTCACCCTAGGGGCTGGAAGTTACAATAAAGGGAAAACATTCCTGAAAGTGAACAGTGCTCTAGTAGGTCCAGCTTCATGTGACAAAAACAAACAAACAAACAAACAAACAAACACCAAACAGCAGTGGCTTAAAGACGTCCGTCTCTTTCACATACAAGAAGTTTGCCTGGCAGGCGGGCAGGAATTCATGGTGGCCCCAGCACAGCCATATTTAAGGTCCC